GAAGGGACTGTTCACTGTGTGACATAGGAATGAACTTCCAGCTTCACGATGTGATTCAAAACCTCTCGCCCCTCTGGTAGATTTTTCAACCCTCAGCGCAAAAGAGAAGTACTAGAGATAGACGGATGCTAACCAGAGCTACCCAGAGAGCTACTAGTCCCCACTGCTTCCTTCATTGAGGAAGTCTAACAAAAAGGCATATGTGTGTGTTTATATTTAGCATAGTATTATATAATTTATATTTAATGTTGTATATAATACACAAATACATCTGTGTATATGCATGTATTTATATATATATATACACACATACATTTGTGTGTGCACATACAACACCCATTTTTTGTGTGTTTGTCTGTTTGTTTTTTGAGGTGAGTTTCACTCTTGTTGCCCAGGCTGGAGTGCAATAGCCTGCAATCTCGGCTCACCATAACCTCCGCCTCCTGGGTTCAAGGGATTCTCCTGCCTCAGCCTCCCAAGTGGCTGGGATTACAGGCATGCGCCACCACATCCAGCTAATTTTGTATTTTTAGTAGAGACAGGGTTTTACCATGTTGGACAGGCTGGTCTCAAACTCCCGATCTCAAGTGATCCACCTGCCTCGGCCTCCCAAAGTGCTGGGATTACAGGCATTTTAATCCCAGTATTAAAATGGGATTTTAATACTGCATCTGGCCTAACACACATATTATTAATAGCTCAAGCTCCTCATCTCACAGTGAATGCATAAAGATGGTAGACCAGTACTACATATGTGAGAAAAGCACCCCTCACTCCTTGTGAGCACACATGGATGTTATTATTACTCACAAAAGCATCCCAGTAATGCCCAGGGCTTTGCGCTTTACTTCACTGATTCATGACCTGATTGGCTACTTATTAATACTTTTATTTGGAAACCTGCAGTTTGGACTCCAAACACTCTGATGAAATGTTTTCCTGGGTGAATGTGCTTTTGGCATTATCTGAGGGGCTTCCTCAAATCCAAGACTTCCCACATTAAACTTGAGAGAGTCCTAGGCAAACCAAGATCCTGGTCATCTCTGCAAAATCAGGACGACGGTACCTACCACAAAAGGCTGCTATGAAGAGTAAGTTGTCTTATGCAACAAAGCATCCAAGACATGGCCCAGCAGATGGTACGAGATCCACAAATGTTCATTATTTTCGTGATCAGTATGACCTCCTCAGTGCCAAAGCAAAAACCACGTACCCATTTCTTTCCTGCAGGTTTTTGTTGATTTGGAAGGTTATGCAATCCGTGTTCTGCTCCAGATAGACAAGGGAATCACTAAGAATCCAAACTTTATTCTATCATCCCTTAACCGAGCTGGCAAGGCTCCCTGAAGGTGGTTGCAACATCCACTGTTCCTTTGTCTCTTAGCACCACACTCTGTGCTCACGGGGCACCCACTACTGCTGCGTACTTTCAAGCTGCCACACGCAGAGCTCCGGCAAAGAGCCGATGGTGACAAAGAGAAGAGCTTCACGTACAAAAGCGTCTGAAGAAAGGCAGAAAGACGGCCTGACAACTTACCAAAAGCCTTGGGGTCGAACGTAAGACAACAAGAACTCAAATAGACGATTAAAATGGCATTGGTGATGCAGGGAGGGAGCCCAGAATGAAATCAAATGGCTCAGAAAATGGGCAAGAGAAGCAAGCAGGATTGCAAAATGTTTTGGCAGGAATGTGGCTTAGGAGACTAATAAACTTATAAAAAAAATTACAGTCAAAGAGACAGACTCCAAAACTACATATATCTCCATGGGAAACATCCAAAATAAAATGTATGTTTGCAAATAGCAACTTCTCCCATCTGTTGCAGTGTTGCTACATTTTCTCAGGAAAGAGCAAGGTCCGTTAACAGTCCCCTGACACTGCAAAATATTGTCTGGTTCTGGTTGGTTACCTGTCACTCAGATACCTAGGTGCCTACCTAAATTCCTGCAGAAAACACAGCTGTTCAGGGACCAGGAGTTTTCTACAGAGCACCAGCCAGACAACCCGTTCAACATAGTCATCACCCAGACAGGCATACCCACAGCAGCAAGGAATGAGAGAAACATACAGCGCTTGCAGAACCAGAGCCTACCAGCTTGGACATTACCCCCTAGAAGGCTGTCACATGCCTTAGGAAGATTAAACCATGCTTGGATCCATTCATAAAACATTTTCTGGCCAGGCGCAGTGGTTCATGCCTGTAATCCCAGCACTTTGGGAGGCCGAGGCAGGTGGATCACCTGAGGTCAGGAGTTCGAGACCAGCCTGACTCCATCTCTACTAAAAATACAAAAATCAGCTAAGCGTGGTGGTGTGCACCTGTGATCTCAGCTACTTGAGAGGCTGAAACAGGAGAATAGCTTGAACCTGGGAGGCGGAGGTTGCAGTGAGCCAAGATCCAGCCTGGGCAACAAGAGCGGAACTGTCTCAAAAAAAAAAAAAAAAAAAAAAAAAAAGAAGGATATTCTGAGCATATTCTCTGTACCAGAAACTATTCTTGGCACTGGGGATAGAGCAGTGGTCTCCCCTCATGGGGCTTACACTCTAGTAGGGAGATAAACACATCAACTCTAAATATATGCCATGGGATCAGGTGATGTTAAAGGTTTAATTATGTCCCCCCAAAATTCATCTGTTGCAGTCCTAACTCCAGTATCTCAGTACTTTATTTGAATACAAGGTCTTTTTTTTTTTTTTTTTTTTTTTTTGAGAGTCTCATTCTGTCTCCCAATTTGGAGTGCAATGGCACAATCTCGGCTCACTGCAACTTCCGCCTCCCAACCAGGTTCATGTGATTCTCATGCCTCAGCTTCCCGAGTAGCTGGGTTTACAGGTGTGCACCACCACACCCAGATAACTTTTGTATTTTTCATAGAGACAGGGTTTCACCTTGTTGGCCAGACTGGTCTCAAACTCCTGACCTCAGGTGATCTGCCTTCCTGGGCTTCCCAAAGAGCTAAGATTATAGGGATGAACCTCTGCGCCCAGACCCCTGAATATGAGGTCTTTAGAGAAGTAATCAAGTTAAAGTGAGGTCATTAAGGTGGGCCCTGATCCAATTTGAACTGGTGTCCTTATCAAAAGGGAACATAGGCCGGGTGTGGTGGCTCACATCTGTAATCCCAGCATTTTGGGAGGCTGAGGCAGGCGGGTCATGAGGTCAGGAGTTCAAGACCAGCCTGACCAACATGGTGAAATGGTCTCTACTAAAAATACAAAAATTAGCCAGGTGTGGTGGGGCACACCTGTAATCCCAGCTACTCAGGAGGCTGAGGCAAGAAAATCGCTTGAACCCTGGAGGCAGAGGTTGCAGTGAGCCAAGATTGTGCCACTACACAACAGCCTGGGCAACAGAGCAAGTCTCCATCTAAAAAAAAAAAAAAGAAAACGAAAGGGAACATTTGTACAGGGAGAGACAGACACACGTGGAGGGCAGACGATGTAAAGAGACACAGAAAGAAGACAGCCACAGATAAGCCGAGGAGCGGGGCATGGAACAGATCCTTCCTGCACAGCCTCAGAAGGACCCACCCTGCCAACACCTTGATTTTGGACTTCCAGCCTCCAGAATGAGAAACAGTAAGGCCTTGCTGTTCCAGCCCCCAGGTCTGTGCTGCTCTCTTATGGCAGCCCTAGCACACCAGTCCAAGTGGTGAGGAGGGACAAAGCAGAGGGAAGGGGCAGAGAGTGACAGGGCATTCAGAGACCGTCGTCAGGCTGAGGCCACAGGAATTCCAACAGCAGGGCCCGCCTGTCGGCCCCACCAGGGCTACTCCTCAGAGGGCTTCTCAAGTAGACAAAGCCGCTCAAAGAGTCCCAAGGTGCACTGCCACGCACATGCATTACTGTATTAATACTCGGCTTAGTACATTTTAAGTCCAAGTTACGTAGTGGCTCTTGCTCCCTGAAAAGTTTTCATTTCCCTCAATACTCCCCCTTTCTCTTTCTTCTCAATCACTGTCTTAGTCAGCTGGGGCTGGTGTCACATAATACCATAGACTGGATGCCTTATAAAGAACAGACAATTTGGCCAGGCACGGTGACTCGTGCCTGTAATCCCAGCACTTTGGAGACGAAGGCGGGTGGATCACCTCAGGTCAGGAGTTTGAGACCAGCCTGACCAACGTGGCGAATGAAACCCCATCTCTACTAAAAATAAAAAAATTAGCGGGGCATGGTGGCACACACCTGTAGTCCCAGTTACTCGGGAGGCTGAGACAGGAGAATCACTTGAACCCAGAAGGTGGAGGTTGCACTGAGCCAAGATGGTGCCATTGTACTCCAGCCTGGCCAACAAAGAGTGACACTCGTCAAAAAAAACAAAAAAAAAAGAGCAGACATATATTTCTCACAATTCTGGAGGCTGTGAAGTCTAAGCCAAACACACCAGCAGATCCAGTGTCTGATGAGGGCCTGTTTTCTGGCTCATAGAAATGGCACCTTTTCTCTGAGTCCTCATATGGTAGAAGGGCAAACAAGCTCCTTTAGGCACCCTTTATTTACTTTTTTATTTTTTTTTTTTGAGACAGAGTTTTGCTCTTGTCACCCAGGCTAGAGTGCAACGTCGTGATCTTGGCTCACTGCAACCTCTGCCTCCCAGGTTCAAGCAATTCTTCTGCCTCAGCCTCCTGAGTAGCTGGGATTACAGGCGCCCACCACCACGCCTGGATAATTTTTGTATTTTTAGTAGAAATGGGGTTTCACCATGTTGGTCAGGCTGGTCTCAAGCTCTGGACCTCAAGTGATCCACCCACCTCGGCCTCCCAAAGTCTGGGATTACAGGTGTGAGCCACCAGGCCTGGCTTTTTTTTTTTTTTTTTTTTTTCACTACAACCTCAGTGAGGCACCTGTTATAAGGGCACTAATCCCATTCATGAGGGTAGATCTCATCACCTCCCAAAGGCCCCATCTCCAAATACCATCACACTGGAGGTTTGAATTTCAACAAAAGAATTTTGGGGGACACAAACATTCTGATCATAGCAACCATCCCACCATAAATGGTACCACCTTTCCCATGAAGAGATGATGAGACATGGATTCATAGTTGTTTTACTTAAACCAGCAAGAGTCAAAGATTTCCAAAGATCATCCCACACGGTATGCCTCTCCCTTGCAATCCAGGCATAGTAAGGGTGGGGGTGGAATCAAGGGTGCTTAGTCCAGGGCCATGGTCGCAGAACCCACCTGCCTAGCCTGAGTGTGTATAATCTGCAACTTTAGACCAATTGGCACTGTTGTTAACAAACCAAGGTGATCCAAACCCTCAGCCCAGTAATCTGCAGACCTCCATTTAGTCAGCAGAGCCAACAAGGATGGGCAACAAAGCAGTGGCTCTTAATATTTTAGAGGTAAATAACTCCATTTAGAATATGATGAAACCCATGGACCCTCTCTTCAGAAATATGTTTACATGCACACAATTGATAGGGCTCCGTAGACCTCCAAAACTTATCAATTATCCTTCTCTAGTTCATGAACTCCCAAGAAATAACTTCTGCAAATGGCAAGAACCACAAAGAAAAAGAGAAAGAATAATGGGGAGCGAGGGAAGATGGTAGACACTGCAAAATACGTTACTCAAAGAGGACTAATTCCCTTAATAGATAAAGAGCTCCTACAAATCAATAAAAGGCCAAAAACCCAAAAGAAAAGTGGGGAATGGACATGAACAATGAACAGAAATGAAGCACAAACAGTTGAGAAGGTATGAAAATATACTCAACTCCCATGTAAATAAGAGAAACAATAAATAAAACAAGATACCCTGTTTAATACAGTAGATTGGCAAAGATCAAAATGAGTACCCTGTTGGCTGACACGTGGAAAAGCAAACATTCCCATACCAGATGGTGTGATTATAAGTTGGGAACCCTTATAAATTATAAGGATTATAAATGTGATTATAAATTGCCAACCTCTATGGCAAGCAATTTGGCAATACTTATCAACAGTTAAAACAGACATACCTTTTGGCCTAAGACTAGGAATTTACCCCTCAGATACACTGAAGGGTCACATTTATAAAGTGACAAATGGAAATTGATATTTACCGCACTGTGGTTTGTAACAAAAAAAAAATTATGTACCACCTAAATGTCCATCAACAAGGCATGATTAAGTCAACACGATTCCTCTACACAGTGACTACTATGCAATAATTAATTAACATAAAGAGTGAGGCAATTTTGTAGTAGTCATGGGGAAGGATGCTCAAGACATATTGCTAAGTGAAAAAGCAAGATAATGAACAGCATGTACAGTTTAAAAATACATCTGCCCTGGTGGGTGGGAGGGATGGATGAAGAGAAGCTGGTTCATGGTTACAAACATACATAGATAGAAGAACTAAATTCTAATGTTTGTTAGGGTGACTATACTTAGCAGCAATACTTTGTATATTTCAAGGTAACTAGAATAGAGGACTTGAAATGATACCAACCCATGCAAATGAATACTCAGGTGATGGACACGTCGATTCTCTGGCTTGATCATTACACATTCTATGCATTCTTTTGTATCAATAAAAGAAGGAAAATCTGCCCATACCTATGCATTTACAAATATCTATGTGGGTTCCTATGCATATAGGGTATCTCTGGAGTGATACACAAGGACTAGGAGGAGGAGTGACCTCTCACCAGAAGACCAGGAACTGAAGAGCCCAGATAAGAAGCAGTTACTTCTCACTGCAAACCCTCTCAGAACCTTTGAATTTCAGACCATGTGTCTGTATTACCAGTTCCAAAACTTAACCAAACACATCTTGCAAACACAAAGATCATTAAAAACCAAAAAGAACCCAGTGATGAGAAGTTGCGTAGCTAGGGCAGAGTGGCCACCGTAAGAGTGCTAAGAGGATGTTAACAGGTGGCTCTACCCTGAGTAGTTATTTTCGTGCATGAGAATGTCCCAAACTGTTACTCTACTCATCAAAAATCCAAATTCCCACAACTCCTTCCAGGACTTTTCCCACCACTCACAAGTGATGGGGGAGGGAGCGTCTCTTCCCAGGAAAGTGCCACCGTCTCTGAAGTAGGCATGCTGGGCCACAACTTGGCCCAACTCTCAGTTGCCCCAGAGTTCTCAGGAAAAAAACCCATAGAGCATATAAAGGGAGCTTTCAACCTTGTAAGTGCCAAGAAACACAGCAGAGCCCTGATGGTCTAACCTAAGAGAAATGTGAGGCCAGAAAACTTCCCAGCGTGTGGCACATAGAATCTGCTAATAAGATGCCACGCCGGCCGCTCCCTCGTTTCAGGGTGAGAGACCACAATCGAGCTGCAAGGTAGGGCAGGATGAAGAGAAGCTGGTTCATGGGTACAAACATACATACATAGAAGGACTAAATGCTAAAGTTTGCTACGGGGACTATACTTACCAGCAATACTTTGTATATTTCTTTGTTGTTGTTGTTGTTGTTGTTGTTGTTGTTGTTGTTGAGATGGAGTTTTCGCTCTTGTTGCCCAGGCTGGAGCACAGTGGCACAATCTCGGCTCACTGCAACCTCCACCTCCCTGGTTCAAGTGATTCTCCTGCCTCAGCCTCCCAAGTAGCTTGGATTACAGGCACACACCACCATGCCTGGCTAATTTTTTTGTATTTTTAGTAGAGACAGGGTTGCACCATGTTGGCCAAGTCTCAAACTCCTGACCTCAGGTGATCCACCCTCGGCCTCCCGAAGTGCTGGGATTACACGCGTGAGCCACCACGCCTGGCCATACCTTGTATATTTCAAGGTAACGAGATGAGAGGACTTGATACCAACACATGGAAATGATGACTACGCATATCCAAGTGGGCATGGAAAAGATGCCCACGTTGTCTATGGTCCATATGGTATGGACTCAGATGAAGAACCCTGGACTCTGACCCTGTCTCTTGCAGTAAACAGCAAATGCTGGGCTGTACCCCCAGATTCCCCATCAGTGCTGAAGAATTGACTCCCCTAGGAGTGAGCTCTCCCCAGGAACCACCCTCAGCAACTGTCTTGTCCAAGGCCATGCCCCTTGCCTGGGCAGCCCCCTCAAGGACTGGTCCATGCAGAAATATAAATCCCAGTCCTCTCATCCCAAGTTGGCCAGCTCTGAAGGGCCAGCTCAGCTCCAGCACTCACCACGGCATGGGCGGGGGCTTTGGCTGAGAGCGGTATTGGAGCCCAGCTTCTCCCTCTGCCTAGTGCTGCTTTGCCCCTTTCCTTGCAGAGGTCAGTTCTGAGAGTAATCCCTAAAAGCACATTCATCTCCTTCCCAAGATCTGCTTGCCAGGAAATCAGCCACAACCCAATACGGACAGTCTAAAAAGGTGCCGGGGCTTGAACTATGCTCCCCCAAAAGATAGCTTCAAGTCCCCTGGGTGCCTGTGGATATGATCTTCTTTGGAAATAGGGACTTTGTCGATGTCATCGAGTTAAAATGAGGCAATTCTGGATTAGGGTGCACCTCCATCCCATGACTGGTGTCCTTATAAAGAGACAGGAAGAGATTAAGAGAAGAGACAGTCAGAGGGAGGCAGACTGGGTGAAGACAGACACAGACCGAGTGCTGCAGTCATAAGCCAGAAAATGCCACCACCAGAAGCTAGAAAGAGGGAAGGAAGGATCCTCCCTGTGGCTACAGAAGGAGCACGGCCCTGCGGACACCTTGGTTTTGGATTTCTGGCCTCCAGAACTGGGAGAGAATAAATTTCTGTTGTTGAAGCCACACAGTGTGTGGTAATTTGTTAGAACCATCCCAGCAAACTCATAGAGAATGTCAGCGAGAAGATCTACTCAGGGCACCCTTCTACGTCATCAATGCAGGGAAGAACACCTGCAAGCTTACCCACCCCAGGGCTGCTGCAGGCATCTGACCAGAATGCGCACGGGAGGGGGACCCCGAAAAAAACCATACAACACTGTAGCACTGGGCTGGTGCTGATGATGGGGAGAGGGAACAGCTCTCTCGAATTCACAGAGGCGTCCCTCTGCTCGGGGACTATTCAGGCCTTGTGTTTCTAGCTCTTTCCTGCTGGTCATCTTACCACCCGGCGGCACCTCCTATCAGAAAGCGTGAAATTCAATTCAGGTCAGCACTTCGACCGGGGCTGAGTGGAGAAAGAAGTTTCACCCATCAGCTAAAATAAGGCCTGGGGATTATCTATGGGTCTCAACTAGCCAAGAGAACAGGTCTCTCCATTACCATAAATAATCGACAGAGGGAATCTATGTTCCAAGGCAAATGATACCCTGTGCCCGAGCCACCTTCCCACAGAGAACACCACAACCTGTCCCTCTCTTCGGGGGCACATGGCTGCCACTCCCCACCCCTTCTGGGCAGATAAACCCTGGGACCGATGATGGCCGCGCTGACCTCCAATAGCTGGCAGCATGCAGAATTCTATAGTCTCACAGACTTGAGTCGGATTGGTATGCACGGGTAGCTATAGCCGTGACTCAACACCTGCAGAGAAAATGTAGGGTTGTACTCCTCTCCGCGGGCACCGTTTCTGCACTGTTGCGCTGACTCAAAGCACCCTTTGAAGTCCATAGGACCTGTATCAATGAATACTAGGAACCAGGCCCTACGTGCCAATTTCCATCATTCACAAGTACTTCAAAAAGATGAGGCAGAGCAGGAAGTTCAAAAGAATCCGCCCGCAACTGCAGAATGCAATCTCCGAAATTACAGGCAGTGCCTTGTCACACAGGGCACACCAAGCAGGTGCTTTGCAAATGCCTCCTTCTTGCCAAGAAGTCCCTGCCAAGGATTAATAGGAATTTCCAGTTCTCTAAGCATTTCTTGTTCCTCAGAGCGATTACCCCTAAATTTCTAGCACTTCAAAAATACAGGATTTAGCACCTGTTTGTTTCAGAAATACTTGCTAAAAACAGATCTGCCAAAAGGCCACCTCTAAAATTAGTCATATTTCCTGCTCTGCAAAACATAGTAAATCGTATTTTTAGTAACTCCTTCACTCCAGGTATCTGGCACCGTCGTGCTCTAAGCACGATCATTGGCAAGTTAGTAAGCAGGCAACCCTTATTCTTAGCCTAAAAATAGTTCTGATGGAAGTGACAGGCAGGCTTATTATCTTTTAACCAAAGGTTAGAACAAGATACTTCAACATCCTAACCAATCATTTTATATACTCAACTTTGTATCTCAGTGAGACTCAATCACAAAAGAAGGTAACAGTGGCACGGACTGTCTGTTCTTGTTTTGTAGTTTGCCTGCCTACAGTATCTGATATACGCCTACTCTTTTCTCGATTCAGTTTTTCCAACTATATTTTTTCAACTTTTATCAATTTTTTACAAAACGTAATAACCTGTAATGTGCCAGAGACCATGCCTATCCTGGTTCATAGGATCATGAACCAACACCAGGGTTCCAGCAATTCTCGTGTGTCAGCCATCCAAGCAGCTGGGACTACAGGTGTGTGTCACCACACCCTGCTAATTTTTGTATTTTTAGTAGAGATGGGGTTTCTCTATGTTGGCCAGGCTGGTCTCAAACTCCTGACCTCAAGTGATCCACTGGCCTCAGCCTCCCAAAGTGCTGGGATAACAGGCATGAGCCACCACATCCGGCCACTAAATCAAACTTCTAAGGAATTATCTAAATATATTGGTGATGACAAAGGACCATTGTTTTACTGATTCCTTACAAACATTATTTATAATGTCTGTATTAGAAACATTATACGTGGTTTCTAAGTTGCTTCTATTTTAAGTTTAATGTTTATAGAAATTTAAAATCTTAAACTCTTTTTTTTTTTTTTTTTTTTTTTTGAGATGGAGTCTCATTCTGTCACCCACGCTGGAGTGCAGTGGCACAATCTAGGCTCACTGCAACCTCCACCTCCCAAATTCAAGCAATTCTCCTGCCGCAGCCTCCCAAGTAGCTGGGATTACAGGTGTGCACCACCACACCTGGTTATTTTTTGTATTTTTAGTAGAGACAGGGTTTCACCATGTTGGCCAGGCTGATCTAGAACTCCTGACCTCAAGTGATCCACCCACCTTGGCCTCCCAAAGTGTTAGGATTGGCCTTAGTTAGGTAATACCCAAAACTAGAGTGGGGATGGGGACTCATTTTAATTTAGCAATCCTTCTCAGAGTCAAGCATACACACACACAACCATTTTAATCCCTACAATCTGCTAAAACCCAAATCTATTAGTTAAGCATTAACTGTGCTGGATTTTGGGAGATAAATGCTATTAATGACACCATTGTTTCTTTAAAGCCAGCGACTGAGTGAACTAAAATCCAGATTTCTCCCAATGCCTGCAAGCCCTGACGCACTGATTCTCCCCGCGGGGGAGAAGCATCCCAGGAAACCAAGTTTTTCCAACACAGACATCTCTCCCCTGCCTCCTTCTCCACCGAAGAACCACCATCCTTAACCGCAGTCCATCAATGGGCCCAGGGGAACAATTTCACATCCAATTAACATCTCCTGTCATTGCAACAATCAAGTGAGATTCATCATTTAAGAAAGATAAAACGGGGCCGGGCGCGGTGGCTCACGCCTGTAATCCCAGCACTTTGGGAGGCTGAGACGGGCGGATCACGAGGTCAGGAGATCGAGACCATCCTGGCTAACACGGTGAAACCCCGTCTCTACTAAAAAATACAAAAAACTAGCCGGGCGAGGTGGCGGGCGCCTATAGTCCCAGCTACTCGGGAGGCTGAGGCAGGAGAATGGCGTGAACCCGGGAGGCGGAGCTTGCAGTGAGCTGAGATCCGGCCACTGCACTCCAGCCTGGGTGACAGAGCGAGACTCCGTCTCAAAAAACAAAAAAAAAAGATAAAACGGGAGGGAAAGGGGAGTGGGCACCTGGAGGAGCAGCGAGTCTCTTCATGTGAATCCTATTTGGGCAGGAATGCCCTGCATGTGGGGCTTCCCAATGGGCCCGACACAGGGCTCCAGAACCTCAGCGCTGGCTGAGCTCTGAATCCACCCCCAGGCAGTTCAGCCCAAGCCAAGAGTTTTATGGTGCAAAAATGCGCTGCTACAGAGCCAGAGGCACAGCACAACACAGCAAAGTGGAGAGAAGCCAGAAGTCTGCAGCAGGGCAGGCGAGAAGAATGTACTTGCAGTGTTTGCCATTACGTTGTCAGCATAAAGACTCGTCTCTTTCTGTTATGTTTAGAGAGGAAATATGCACGACCAGACTGAATCCTATATGTTTCCAATGAAAATAAACTTCCATCGCCAGTGCCAACAGGAATTTACACAGGGCCAGGAGAAGTGAGCTCACTCTAATTAACCGACTGTGTGGCCTCACAGCATCCTTGCGCCCTGAACGGACTCGCAGTGTGGAAGTCAGACAGCTCACTACGAAACGAATCGAATCGAATCGAATCGAGGAGTAAAAGTGTGCCTCGCTCCCTGCGGACTAGAACAAGGTTTGGAGGTTTTTCTTTCTTTTTTTTTTTTTTTTTTTTTTTTTTGAAGAGTTACTCAAGTTCATACTGAACACTCCCTTTTTGCATGGGAATTCAGGCACTTTTAAAAACTACTCACTCTAACCCCACGTACCCATAATAAAGGGGTGCTCACTCAGAACGGCTGTAGGGAATACAGGGAAAATGACAAGGGTGACAGAGACCTGCACTCACAGGCAAGAGGCTCCAAGACAAAGTGGGGAAATGGGGGGAGGGGAACTAAAGGTGGGGTGAGGCTGGTGACAGGCAAAAAGGGCAGGTTGGCCCTGTGACCAGGGGTTTCACAGGGCAGCCCTAGGCTGGGCAGAGGTCCCCAGGAGGAAGGCAGAGGGCTTGGCTCCCAGGCCACCGGCTCGGTTGGGAAGTGAACTCCGCCTTCCCTCCTTGCGGCTGACGCCTCCCTGACCCACGGACCACACAAAGGAGCGGGTCCCCCTCCAGGGCTGAGCCACCCCCAGCCTGGGGGCAGCCTTGAGCCCGAGATGACAGGAGCTTGGGGCAGCTCCAGCCTGGATTGGCTCTGAGCTCTGGCAGCTCCAGCCTGGGGTGACCCGGCCTCAAAAGCAAGCCACCAGCTTTTGGGTTTCTTCTCACAGCTCTAAATGACACCTTCCATCTACCTGCCCCTCGCCGGGCAAGGGTTCACAATCATCTAACTTCCAGCAAGGCTGGAGAGGCGCCCCTTTCGGTCTCGGGGAGGTCCCCTTTCCCTTCCCCTCTTCTAGAAAGATAAGAAGGCATCTCCCAATCTCTGGGGAGGTGTCTGTAGTTCTGCTCCTGCCAGTAGCAGGGTCTTCACTGCAGCTCCCACCCTGAGGCTGGAGGGCACAGAGGAGCTGGGGGAACCGAGAGAAGGGGATGAGACGGAGAGAAGCGGCTGAGAACGGCGGGGATGAGAATGGCGGGTGGTATGGGCGGCAGGGGTGGGAAGGCTGAGTGGATGGAGAGGAGCACAGGTTGAGGGATGGACAGGTGGAGGGCAGAAGCACAAACGCTAGCCTGAGCACGAAAAATTCCCTAGCTGCTGGAGTCCACAGGTGGGGAGGAATGCAGGATCTCAGCCTTCCCTCACCTCCTCCCAGAGCCCAGGACGGGAATCAGACTCTAAGCTCCCCCAGAGGATGGCTGTTAGCTTTACGTCTCCCCCGCCCCCGACATAAGAGCCCAACTCCTCTAGCCTTGGTTCCCGCCTCGCCACGGATCCGCAGCCCCTGCCGGCCCGGAGGGCAGAGAGGCCCCATCCCGCCCCCGGCGCTGGTGTCCGCCAGGCGGCGCCCTTCCACTTGCAGAACTGCCGCGCGGGACGCTTCCCCCGGCACTGCCGTCCCCTCCCCAGCCCCCGGGCAGCTGACCCCAGGCCGCCCTTCGGGAAAGGCTGAGAGGGGCTGAGTGCGCGTTTGGCTCGACCCCTCTTTTAACCCAACAGGAAAGCCGGGCAGAAGGGGAAGGCGCTCGGCCCGGGACTGTGCAATGGGACTCCCAGTGCAGTGCTCCCGGCGGGGTCCTGGCCGCCGACTCCCGCCCTGTCCCCCAGCCCCACGGCGCCCGGGCGACTCACCTTCTCCCCGGTCAGCACGTGCAGCCCCTCGCGCACCTTGGCGAAGGAGCCCTCGCCCAGCTTCCTGCTGCCGATGAGGTAGTTGCCCACGCGCTTGTGGTGCTGGAAGTCGCGGAGCCGCTCGCGGGGCACGCCGCTCACCCAGGCCGGCAGGAAACTTCCCTCGCAGGCCGCCGCCGGCCTGGCCGCGTCCTCCGCGCCGCCGCCGCCCCCAGGCGCCGACGGCTCCCCCAGGAGCCCGTCCCCTGCCGCCGCCGGCATCGCGCTCGCCCGCGGCCCGCGCGGCTCAGGCTGGGCTCCCGCGCTCGCAGCTCCTCCTCCTCAGGCTCCTCGGCTCCCCCGGCTCCTTCGGCTTCTCCCGCCGCCGCCCTGGGCCCAGCCCCGCCCGGGTCTCCGCACCCCGCGCCCGGGGCCGCCGCGATCACGCCCCCCGCGCCGCCAAGCGTGGCGCGCAGACAATAGCGGCCGCCCAGGGGACGCGGGAGCGGGGACCCCGCCCCCAAAAGTTCTTCCTCGGAGGGTCGCCCGGGCCCCTTTCAGGACACCAGGATTCCGCCCCGGGTCCCGTCCAGGAGGCTAATGACAGTCGTCCTGCTCGGGCGCGCAGGGTGGGGCGCGGTCCGGCGGCGCCTGGGTCCCGGGGTCCGGGTGCCTGGGTGCCTGGGTCCCGGAGCCCGAGCGCCTCCGCCTCGCCGCCGCCGTCTGGCCCGCACGGGCTCGGGTCCGGCTCCCGCGATCGCTCCTAGCCGTGCGCTGGGCGGCAGCTCCCGCCGAAGAGAAGCGCGCGGCGGGCTGCAGGCGCCCTCTGGAAGGCAGCAGAAGAAAGCCCCATTCAGTTTGAATTTGCAGAAATTTAATCCGGTCGCGGGCGGCGGGAACAGATGCGAGCTCCACTCCGCAGCCCGTGCACTTTCAAATCCCTAGTAGCCCCTCCTTCCCCGCGCGCCACAGTCAAACTCGACCCTCGCTCGAGAGGGGAGGGCCCGGGGAGGGGAGCGGCGGAGTGGACGCAGGAGCCACCTGAGCGCCAGACTGGGAGATCCTGCGCGGCCTCGGAGGCGCGCGCTCCCGGGCCGCCCAGGTCGGGCCGCCTCCGGCTGCGCCTCTCGCCCGGATTCTGTGCTTGGGTTTTCTGGACCTTTCGGCGGTGAAATCCCCCACTGGCCGCACCCACCCGGGGCGGGGGAAGGGGGAAGGCTCTCGAACTCCGTTGACTGTGGATCGGGTTGCCTGCCCGGCCCTGGGTCCGGCACACAGTAGGGCTCCCTGGACCTGGGGTGGAAGGATAGATGGATGGCTAGAAGAAAGGGTGGGGAGGTGGCCAGGCGTCTGCCTGGGCTCGCACGCAGGCTGGTTGGCTGTGTTGGAGGAGGTGCAGCCACAGCAATAATAGTAGCAGCAGCAACGTAGGAACCAGGGCGTTTGCTGCCTCTGCTTGTAGCTTACACCTTCTTTGCCTGCCGTTGAAATGATGCCCGTGATTGCAGGAGGTGGACCGGCGCTCGCCTTTCTTCGATGCTTTTGTTCTGCAAGCGCTATGACTGTGCTTATCGCATAAACAATTGCAACTGCCCTGACGACACTGGTACCTCTCCAGGATCCCCAACATCTTCTCAAACCGAAAATGAAGAATCTTGTGAGGGAGAAGCAGGAGGGTAGGTAGGAGGAGGCATTTACAAAATGCTACCTGTTGAGGTACCCGCATTTGATGGAAACTTCACCCCGATCGTGCAACATCAGAGCTGAAAGGAAGGATTGGGTCCTAACAAAGTTCCTTTCATTGTTTATTCCTGAGTAAACAAGTATGGCATCGACCCATAGCACTGCTTTGAGACTGGGGGTGGGGGATATGGGGGTAACAACAGCTGTCAATCCAGTGTCTGGGGGGCTCGCTGACCCATCTGAAGAGGGACCCAGAGAAAGGCCTGCTTTCAATAGGTCTAATTTTAAATACGCTACTATATTCATCTACCTGCCTGTTCCAAGTCACCAGCCTCCGTTATTATGACAGAACCTGTGTTTTCTGTTGTTCTGTCTCATTGTTCCCGTTTACCAATATTAAGGATACAGCTTAAAATGTTTTTCTCGCTGTGCTTAAGGCACTTCTTTGCTCCCACCACCCTTGACTATTTCAGTAAGGTTCATTCAATCCTTTTAATGTCTCTAATTCAGTAATCAAATCTTAAGAGGACAGTTGCATGGGAGGGGAATGGTGACCAGCATGGTGCCAGCAGAATAGATGTCCAGCAACTGTCTAAAGAATGAGGAATATGGAGCTCACTTTGGGGTCAAAACCACTCAGGCCGGGTGCAGTGGCTCACGCCTCTAATCCTAGCACTTTGGGAGGCCGAGGCAGGTTGATCACGAGGTCAGAAGTTCAAGACCAGCCTGGCCAAGATGGTGAAACCCTGTCTCTACTAAAAATACAAAAATTAGCCAGGTTTGGTAGTGGGTGCCTGTAATCCCAGCTACTTGGGAGACTGAGGCAGAGAATTGCTTGAATCCAGGAGGTGGAGGTTGCAGTGAGCCGAAATCTTGCCACTGCACTCCAGCCTGGGCGACAGAGCAAGACTCAGTCTCAAAACAAACAAAAAAACACTCTGAATCTTCCATCAGAAACAGTTTGGGAGTCCACTCAATGTTGTGTTAATAGAGTATGTTTTTTTTTAATGTTAGGACATGCATTGTTTATGAAAATTTAGAGATTTATTTATTAAAGTTTAAGGCAAATTTCAGAGACTTTTCCCCAAAGTATCTTTATGGTCTAAAAAGGAAATTTCATAAAAATGGTGGATGACGTTCACAATGAAATAGAGATTTTCTTTCCTTTTAATTATCCTCTCAGGGTAGAGGTCAGGAAAGGGGTGAAGAAGAGAGAAAATCCAGGCCCATTAAATCTTTTTCAAGCCTGCTGCCTGGGTTTGATTCAAGTTCACTGCTAATTCCATAAGCTGGGATGGATGCCAAAGAGAAGTTCAAATCCTACCCGTGCGTCCCCTTTGTAACTGATTTTTGAACTACAAGTCCTAGTCTCTGAAATGGCCTGTTTAACAAGATATCACTCCAGAAATGTCTTTATGTAAAACAAATTGGTACACAATATATTGCCCTCATATTCAGTGCGCAGAAAGCATCTGATTATTCAATGCTACAGTAATGCAACATTGAAAATTCTCTGCTAATCAGCCCAAACTAAATTTCTAGCCTTATTCTCCTGCGGAGTTCCCGGGTGGGGGGTGGGGGCGGGCGCTATATTTCAGCTGTCTTTGGCTGGGATGGAGCCTCCGTACTGTCACACCTTTGCCTGTGCCTCGCCCACCCCCAATCTGCTGTCACCAACTCATTTCCACCTAGCACAGGTGTTCCCTTTCCCATGAAGCCCTCCCCAACCAATAAGCTACAAGAAGCCCATCTGCGTCTGTTGTCTCTTAGTTCATATAGTCATTTCACATTCCCCTTATGTCCTGTAGTACTTATTATCCATGGCTCTCTTCTCTTTTAGACTCATTGAGGACAGGAGCTGTGTCTAATTTCATTATTATTTACCCTACAGCACCTAGCACAGTGTCTGAGACATGATCATTGTTCAGTATATATTTGTTGAATAAATGAATGAAAGTAATCATTCACTGATTCTGAAGTGGAGTTTTACTACTCCTGAGAGCAAGACCCCGTCTAGTCCTGGGGGAGACAAGCTACCAGTGACTTCCTGAAAGCATTTTTAGTTGCATTGTTGGTTGCCTTTGGGGATCAACAAATATAATTGTTTGTCTTGTCAAAGATGGGTCATTCGCTAACTTGGATGAGTTAACCCTTTCAGAAACAGGACCAATCCCAGTGGGCTGTGAAGCCTGGGGAAGCTTTCTCAGTTGACTTGTACCAGCTGCTTCCTTCCTTCCCTTTTCCTTCCCCATCTCCTCGCCCCATATGGCTGGGAGACTGCCTCTGTGTTCTCACAGAACGCCAGCTAGAAGACCCAGCTGGAAGCAGTCAAAGACAATTAGAAGTAATCAGGCTGGCACAGCCAGGAAATGAGAGTTGGCTAGAAGGGGTTAGGCTGGCAGAAGCCGGCTGGTAACTGGAGAAGGAACGGATGGCAAAGCAAAGACGGCAGACATGGATCAACTTCGCCTGAAAAACATCCTGTGAACTCTATATGTTCATGTTCCCAAAACAAAGCGTCCCGTAAATAACAGACTGGACTTGAACCCGTGTCCCCAGAGTTCATGTCAAGCATTATTCTTTTACAACACCCAGCTGTTGAATGTGCACAATGCAACGGCTGAGGAAGAAAGGGTTCCTCGGGCATAAAGACTCATGTGCAAAGGCAGCCCAGTGTGCTATTGCAGAGTAGGCTGCATCCCCACAATGAAACGCTTCTCTAAAAACGAGTCGTGACACTTACCTTTTGGTGCTTCAGTTTCCTTAAGCTGCAAAAATGGGATATTAAGGAATTGTATGGAGTCAATCAGATTATGCACACAAAGCGCTCAGATCAGTGCCTGACACCTTATAAGTACTAGGTGAATTTTGGCTTTCACACCTTCCGTCAGTACAACTATCATCATCATAAACTAAGAGAAGTCACTCAAGAATGCCCCAGAGGTCCACCAGCGCAACTGCCCTGGTAACTGATGAATCCAAAAGCATAATCTCCAGGTTGGATCTCTTCCCTGAAACCAGAGTCCTGTGGTCAACCCTCTGTACTTCTGTACTTCTTTCCTAAAGCTTCACCCAAATCACCCCAAAATTTAGCAGTCATCCTTTGCTTCCTCTGCTTCTCGATCCTCATATCCAACCCACCAGCAAATCCTATACCCACCTGTGACCCTTTCTCTCACTTCCTAAGTGGCATCCTTTGCTTCCACGCCAAAACCAAAACCAGTTCTTCAAAATGGGAATCAGTAATCCCAGCACTTAAGGAGGCCAAGGAGGGAAGATCACCGGAGGTCAGGAGTTCAAGTTCAACCTGGTCAACATGGCGGAACCCCATCTCTACTAAAAATACAAAAACTAGTCGGGCATGGTGGTGGGCACCGGTAATCCCAGCTACTTGGGAGGCTGAGGCAGGGAGAATTGCTTGAACCCCGGAGGTGGAGGTTGCAGTGAGCCAAGATCATGCCATTGCACTCTAGCCTGGGCGACAGAGCAAGACTCCATCTCAAAAAAAAAAAAAAAGGGAAACGGATTATATCACTTCCCTACACTCGAAAGCTGTTCAACAGACCCCTGCAGAAAAGATTCCCCAAACACTTTATCATGATATGGCCCTGCCTCCCTCTTTACTGTCACCTCCTGGGAGCCAGACACCAAGCTCTTCCCGCTTCAAAGCCTTTCCTTCTGTGTCTTGGTCCGCTCAGACTGCCATAACGAAACACCTAGACTGGCGGCTTAAACAACAGACATTTCTTTCTCGTAGTTCTGGAGAATCCAAGATTTAGGTTCCAGCAGATATGTATATATAGAGATTTACTCTCAGGAGTTGACTCACATGATGATGGAGACTGAGGAGTCCAGAACGAAAGTGCTAGCAGATTCAGTTCCTGATGAAGGCTCTCCTCCCGGCTGACAGACGAGTGCTCTCGCCAAGTGCTCTCGTGGCAGAAAGACACACAGCCCTGGTCTCTTCTTCTTTTTATAAGGACACCAATCAGATCATGAGGGTCCCACTCTCTTGCCCTCAATTAAGCCTAAATGCCTTCCGAAGGTCTCACCTTCAAATATCGTCGCATCAGAGGTCACAGCTGCAACGAATGAACTTGGGCCGGGGGGATACAAACATTCAGTTCATGACACTCTGCCAACAACACGCTTCTTCAACATCGCTGAAGTTTCTCGCTTCATTCAGAGCTCTGCTCTCTCAATCAGAAAATGAGAAATCAGGCAGACTGTCCCAGGGTCCCTAATCGCCACGTTCAACTTTTCATGTCCTTCATCATTAGCTAACAGAAGAATGTACATTCACTTGTTTATGTGTTCATTCTCTCCTCTCTCTCTCTCTCTCTCATTTAATGTCCATGAAGCAGGGGACTTTGTATCCCAACACCCATGCATGCCGGTACACTGTACACGTTCAGCAATGGCAATGCGGAGCTTCATCTCAACTCTTAATCTGTCCGTGTGGGAGAGGAAAGAGTTGCTGGACTTTATGTGGTTGTGGCGCTGCAGCATGATGGTGTACGGGTGGTGACACCAGGCCAACCTCCTGCAGCTGCTTCCCAGCAGCCACTGAGCTGATATTCAAGAAGAAAAAGGTGCATTCTTCAAACAAGATGTTGATGGCTTCTCACAGGACTCATCACAGTTGTACCTCCGTTGGTCTCCAAAAATTGAATATAACGGCTATTTCAGTAAGAAAAATGTACCTGCCACCTCCCAACTAAGATGGGCCCAGGGCTTTAGGACATCTTGGTGTGTGGACTCTTCCTCTAAATCCCAGATAGAGGCTATTGAGAAGGAATGGAATTTTAAATATTCTATAGGAAGAGGCCATCACACATACTGATCTTGACCATTTCCCCTTGTATGCATGTCTCATTCAAAAGTGGCTTCCCATCTTACATTGGCACCAACATCATCCCTGTGGCCCGACGAGGCCCAGCACAATCTGCTTCCCACCCTCCAGGGCTCATCTCTCTTCCCTCCTCCCATCATGGCTCTGATCTCACCTCCCCCTATTCACTGCCCTCCAGTCACACTGACCTGTGTGTGGGACCCACTCCCTCAGTGGGCTCTTTTTATGTTTTTGGAATATTGTTCCAAGAAATATCTACAGAGCTGGCTTCCTCATCATCTTCCAGTCTTTGCTCAAATGTCACTTTCTCTGTGGGCCTTTTCTCTGACCTTTTCTCTCTGATGCCAATTTCCCCTGGGCTACGCCCCATCCCCCTGTACCCCACCTCCTTATCCCCTTCCCTGCTTTATTTTCCTTCACAGCACTTGTTGCCATCTGACAAATTACATCATTTCCCTCTTTGTTTTGCTTGTTGTCTGGCTCCTTCCCTAGAATGTCTGCTCCATGAGGGCTGGGACTTTGGTTAAGTCCACTATGCCTGGTGCCTGGTCCCTGGGGAGTGCTCAACACAAATTCGTTGTGGTTGACTAAATTTGTAATTCACAGGGTCTCTCGTTGCAGAAGCGGACGACCATAATAAATGAGAAGGCAGAAAGGAGAAACGCAACAAAACCGGGTCCTGCTGGAGAAAGCACACATCATAAAGACATATGGCAAAAGATCAATATTCATGCCTCAAACAGGAACCTCCACAACAAGCTCCACATTTGTATTATGGCAGGGAAGGAAAGGCTATTGTTAGCACTGAGGCTTATTTACAGCGTCTGGCTGCGTGCTGACTCCCGTCCGTTTCTTAGTAGGGATTGAGTAGAGCCTGCAGCAGCGAGGGGTCTGGGGGTACTTAGAAGTGAGCGCATACAACAGAGCATGGTCTCCGGTGTGGCCAGCAGGTGGAGATGCAATGAGGCGGAGGGCACCCTGGAACTGAGCCCACTCACCAATCCCAGGACTGGGCACGCGGGCTGATTGCAGAAGCCTGCCTGGCACAGCCAGGTGGACAGATGCAGACAAAAAGAGGCCGGCGCCCCCTGCTGGTCAACTCGGCTCTGCTTTCCCTCCGCTGCCCAGAGGGGCCCAAGAAACCGGGAAGAGAATGCAGGACTGGAGGCCAAACCTCCTTCACCAGCTGCCTCCGTGGCCCTGGGCAGGGCGTTTATTATCTCTGAGCATCCGTTTTCTCCATCTGGAAAGGAAGAACTTCTCCCTGTCATTCCTAAGTCCCAGGACTGCTGCCAGGGTAAAGTGTGGCAAATTATGGGCATATGCTATGAAAATAGAAGCCATTTTGGTTATTGTTCTTAGCACGGCATTCTTAAATCAGAGCAAAAAGTGTCTGGGACATAAATCTGAAAACAATACATTTAAAATAAAGCAAAGAATGAATGGGTGAAAAGTCCTGTTTGTCCCGGGTTTTTTCATTCCGTGACGGAGGCTTTCTGCTGAGCATTAGCATGCAATACACACATCTGCAGGCTTTGGGTTCACTCCCATGCAGAGCATGCCACTATCCTAGGCCTGCTCCTCAACCCTCACCTTCCAGTTTCCCTCCTTCCGGGCCCCTGATCAACTGCCCAAGCCATGTGCTACTGCTAATGAGTCCATGTGTGTGGAAAGATAGTGATAGATGATAGATAGATAGATAGATAGATAGATAGATAGATAGATAGATAGATAGATTTTTTAGATAGTGTCTTGCTCTGTTGCCCAGGCTAGAGTGCAGTGGTGCCATCACGGCTCACTGCAGCAGCCTCAATCTCCCAGGTTCCAGTGATCCTCCCATCTCAGTCTCCCAAACAGCCAGGACTATAGGCATGCACCATGATGCCTGGCTAATTTTTTTTTTTTTTTTTTTGTACTTTTTTTGTAGAGATGGGGTTTTACCATGTTGCTCAGGCTGGTCTCAAACTGCTGAGCTCAAGCCATCATCTCTCCTCAGCCTCCCAAAGTGCTGGGATTACAGGCATGAGTCACTGTGCCCAATCAATAATAGATAATTGGTAAAGAGACAGATCAATAAGTAGATGATAAACAGATGATCGATAGAAATAGATAATAGATTCAATAGAAAGAAGGATGATACATGACAGCTACATAATGAATGACCAATGGATGATAGATAATTAATAGATACAGATAAAGAAATAGAGAGATAGATGATACCTAGATAGATAGGTGATTAATAGATCAATAGACACATTGATCAGTAGATGATGAACAAGAAGGAGGAGGAGGAGAAGGGAGGGAGGGAAGGAAGGAAGGAAGGAAGGAAGGAAGGAAGGAAGGAAGGAAGGAAGGAAGGAAGGAAGGAAGGAAAGGCAACAAGGCAGGGAGGGAGGGAGAGAAGGAGGGAGGGAAGGGGGAAGATACGTATTCTCTGTGTAAACCAACTAGATGACCTGGTGCACCAATGAAGCTCCGCCCATCAGGGTTTCTCCTTGATGCTGTCTTTCCAGCCCATCCTGAGTACAGCTGTAGTGCAGTCAGTGTCCATTTTTGTCCACATTCATTATCCAAGATCCAAGCTCACTTTTTCTTCCTACATCAGTGGGTCATAAGGATTTCCCCTTCCAAATGTGGCCGCAGGTGTGAGTTGAGGGAGTACCCTTGGTGCCACAGTGGTGGGGGCTCTGGAAGTCTGAGCTAGCTGCCGGTGTAGCTGGCTTGGGCCTTCAGGCCCTGCTGATATATTTGATCATGGATGCAGAACTTCTGTCTTGCCTTGGATACTGCAGGGCCCACCCAGCCTTAGAACTTGATGAGCCCCTGCAGGGCAGCTATGGAGGTGCGTATGGTCACTCGGTGTCCCATGTCCAGGTGCTTCATCCCTACCGTGTTCCAGCAGCAGCACACCAGGAACTATTTAATGAAGAGTGTAAAATTTTCCACTGCAGGTGGCATGGCCGTGTTCCGGAGCCCGAGGGGTCCTTCATGATCCCCCCATGGAGCTTTCTGTAAACTGAACATGGTGGCCTTTCCCCACCTCTGACATCACTAGGAACCTAAGGCATGCTGGATTGTTCAGCCCAAGCAGAAGGGCTGTTTGCACTGCAGCCTGGATCTACTCCAGAGCCCTCCTCTGGGCCTTACTTCCAGGAGGCAGCCTGCCATGTAATCCAGTCTATGGGTAGGAAGAGTATTCCCAGATACAGAATATGCCACCTCCAGAAACTACGGGATCTACCAGCATGGTGCTTCCTTCTTCATGGTGGGAGGTGTGAGATGCAATAATTTATCCTTTACATTTATCCCCAGTGTGCCTTGGACCACCAGACTTCTACAACTGATGTGATGGGCCTCTGAAACTTGGGGTTTTTCTCCCATGATCTGAAGCCCATGTGTCTTTCCACACATGGGGTACACTTGCTGCGTCTTGCTCATCTATCTCATATCTGATTGACGTGAGGCATTGATACAGTGGACCAGGGTGCCGTCCTGCAGGATGTCCAGCAGGTCCAGTTGTCTTCAAACTATATATTATATATGACAGAGGGCAGGAGAGTTAGCACCACCTGAAGGAAGACTAAATACATACTATTGTCTGATCAAGGGAATGCAAACAGTTTTTTTTTCCTTTCAAGGGTGATGGAAAAGAACGCATTCATCAGAACAATGGCCACATATCATCCCCTAAAGGTAACATTCATCAGTTTTAGTAAAACAAATACCATACCAGGCCAGGCTGGAGGTGGTGGCTCATGCCTGAAATCCCAGCACTTCGGGAGGCCGAGATGGGTGGATCACAAGGTCAGAAGTTCAAGACCAGCCTGGCCAAGATGGTGAAACCCTGTCTCTACTAAAAATACAAAAATTAGCCAGGCGTGGTGGCGGGTGCCTGTCATCCCAGCTACTCAGGACACTGAGGCAGAGAATTGCTTGAACTCAGCAGGCGGAGGTTGCATTGAGCCAAGATCATGCCACTTCACTCCAACTCAGGTGACACAGCAAGACTATCTCAAAAAAAAAAAAAAAAAAAAAGTACCATACCAAGCCCAGCAGCTGCAATCTGGGCTCCTTCTGATGGAGTTTGCAGTAGTGCACTGTCATTATCCAGAATCCAAGGGTTTCCGCAGGGCCCAGGCTGGTGAATTAAATAGAGATGGGGTGGGCCCATCACACCGGCGTCCTCTAAGGCCTTAAGGGTGACACTCATCTCTAGCACTCTTGGGATGCACAATTATCTTTCAGTTTTAGGGCCTTCCACTCAACCTTCTGGTACAACATCTCTTACCTCACAGGCCAAATAATGCAGTGGTTATGGCAGGTACCAAGTATGTCCATTCCAATTGTACACTTGGCAACTGTGGAAACAACCGCCACCTAACTCCGTGGAGACAGTGGACCCACCGTGGCTTGGCCCAGGCCTAGGCTGAATTCATCATCTTGCACCTATCAGCCCCCACCCTAAGAGGGAGTCGACAATGAGGCTCTAATTCTCTGGGTATCAATTCAGACCTAAATAGTCATTGAAGTGTCTGGTCCCTACATTAAATATTTATTATGGTGTAACAAATTACACTAAAATTTAGTGGCTTAAAACAGCAATCAACATTTATTATCTCACAGAGTTTCTGTGGGTCTGGAATTTGGGAGTGACTGACCTGTGAGGTGATGGCATAAGGTCTTTCATGAGGTTGCAGTCAAGATGTGGGTTGGAGGCCAGGCGCGGTGGCTCACGCCTGTAATCCCAGCACTTTGGGAGGCCGAGGCAGGTGGATCACGAGGTCAGGAGATCGAGACCATCCTGGCCAACATGATGAAACCCGTCTCCATTGAAATACAAAAAAATTAGTTTTTGTGTGTGTCTATGCCAGGAGTCTTGCCACCACTACAGTCCTAGCTACGTGGGAGGCTGAGGCAGGGGAATCGCTTGAACCCAGGAGGCGGAGGCTGCAGTGAGCCGAGATCGCTCCACCACACTCCAGTCTGGTGATAGGGCAAGACTCCGCTAAAAAAAAAAAAAAAAAAAAAAAAATGTGGGTTGGAGCTACAGTCAACTGAAAGCTTGATTGGAACTGGAAGATCCAGTTGTATGATGCATGACTGTTGTTCATGGGGGCTGTTCCCAGGAAGCCTTAGTTCCTTGCTGCTTGAACCTCTCCAAAGGTTGGTTTGAGTGTCCTCATGAAATGGCAGTTGGCTTCTCCCAAATGCAGTGATGTTTAGGAGCAAGGCAGAAGCCACAGTGTATTTATGCTTTAGCTTCAGAAGTCACCCTCTGTCATTTGCACAATGTCCTATTCATTACAGGTCAGCCCCATTCAGCATGCAAGAGGACCACACAGAGGACCACACACAGAAGTGAGACTCACCGGACCCTATCTTGGGAGCCAGCTACCATGCCCCTTCCTCTTGCTTGGTTACCCAAGCAAGTGGCCTTAGGTACCTCTAGGGACGGATTGGCCAAATCATTGCTGTGCATGTTTGCTATAATACAGTAAAGTCCTCTCTCTCAAAGATCCAGACTTCTCTTCAGTCAATGGGCTCCAGGTTAGAAAATTGGCTCAAGTTTGAAAACTGAGCAAAGGATCATGATTTGTTTATTGGGCAGCTGCCCTCAGTTTCCTGAGCGTCTACCCTTGATTTCTTCTAGTTGTATAAATGAAATAATATCCTCACTCATTTGCCATCTGTGTTACCCCTAAGGACATCACGTTTTTTAACCGTCTTCACCATTCCCTATGGGTGAATCCTCCTTGACTGCCATCCATCTTTCACGCTCTTTATCATAACTACACCTGCCTGGCTTCTGGTGGTCGAGTGCTGCCACCTGGCCTTTGTTATTTCAATGTCCTATCATATCAATTTATATCAATAAATCAAATTCTGCAGTGGCATCTCCTACTACAGCCCTGGGAGAGTCACCACTGAGCTTCTCACTGCTTCCAGGACCCTTCTCACTAGTGCATTTCCTATTGCTTAGGACAATGGAAGGCCCTCTGTGCCTCTTTGTGCAATATAATCAATTGGTGAGGTTTCTAGCCTTGTGTATCTATGAGTTCTAGATGCCCGCTCCTCTGAGGTCTTCATCTCTGTCTGCCATGGCAGTTCTGGCATTTCTGCTTCACTTAGCATAGTCCAGTGCTTTTCCCAGGCTCTAAGAGCCATCCCAGTAGCGTGTCTCTTGCAGGGGTCTTGCCAGCATATTAAATTCTAGATCCCAGCTGGATGCTCCCAAATTGATAAGTTCTCCCTTATCCAACTTTATGTTTCACTCCCCTTGATCCAGCACCTGAGAATCCAGTTTCTTCCATTCTTCTGCCAGCACACATTGGGTAAATCCTCCCGCTCCTTCAACATAGGGTTGCATTGCTCCCTTATTCAGTTCACCAGCTGTGCCACGTTGTGACTTAACTCTACTCGTTGGCCTCTTGACCAGGAAGGGAGATAGGATTAGG